AGTCACCCAGGGACACACACGTGCACACACGGGCGTGCACAGGGACAGTCACCCAGGGACACACACGTGCACACACGGGCACAAATGCACAGGACTTGATCCCCCCCTTCTCACCCTCGTTGAAATTTATTTTCTTTCTGTTTGGAGATGAAGGTGACTGACGGAGAATCATGCCTAGGTGCCTCTTTTAGAATGAATTTGGCAAGAAGCTGACTCCTGTCCACTGCATTGAGCCTGCCCTGCCTGTCCACAGGAGTCATGTGTAGGAGGGGCGCCAGGGCTGCGCCATCCACAGAAACCTGTGCCTTAGCTACGGTGGCCTCCAGGGTCCAACTGCTGGGGCCCCTGGCCCTGCTTGCCCCACCTTGGCAGGAACGCGGCTCTCCTCCCACTCCAACCAAAGCAACCGCAGAGGTTTGGGGCTCTGCAAATGCTGCCTACCTTGTGGGACACTCAGTGAGGTCACTCAGCCTGCACCAGGCCACCACATCGGCTGCCCGGGCCACCCCAGAGGGGACGGGGAACCAGGGGAAGGGAAGGAAGGGGCAGCTGGGGCGAGGTGCATGACCAACACAGGGTGACTCAGCCCCAGGTGGCGCCAGGGCCACAGCTGGGCCCCTGGGCGGAGACCCCATGGACACAGCTGGAGGGGCAGGGGGGCCAGGGCCAGCCGAGTGGGGAGGGATGTCCTGTCCCCTTTCGCTTCTCCGGAGGATGTCATTCTGAGATGGTCCTGGGGTCTATGTCCTCAGTGACACAGAAGCCACCACCCTGTGGTCAGGGCAGGATTCTGCTCACCGCGAACCCCAGCAAGGATGGAGAAGAGAAGCTGGCCTGGATTCTGCCAGAGAGGGCCCTTGAGCCGTGATGACAGTAGCTGGACCTCAGCAACATGGCCACGTCCTGCCCCAAGCCTGCGGCCCCGTGAAGCGGGATCACATGGGCTAGGGCCTCCATCTGTGCCTTAATCTCTGCCCTGTCTGGGGTCGGGAACACGGTGACAGAGGCTCGCACACAGGGCCTGTTTCCAAGAAAGACTGCGTTGTCCTCTCGAAGACTCCATGGGGATTGGGCGGGAAGATGTCCTGAGGGCTGCGAAGCTGGACACCCGCAAGGGACACCAGCAGAAGAAAGATGATGAGGCTCTCTTTTGTGTGCTAGAAATACCTGCGCCTCCGAAGGTAGAGTGGCAGAGGGTGGG